GGTGAGAGGGTCACGGACTTACTCCCTTCCCTCTCTAGTAATAGTGGGTGGCATGCCACCCACTTACATTATTTTATAATATATATTACTTATTTAATTATTTTAATTATTTTTAAATTATTAATATTAATATATATTTTTTTTCAACATAACTTGATTTATTTTCTCTTTCTTCTAAAATTATATAGTTTGTAATTTAAGTCGTTAAGAATAAATTTTATTCTATATAAACTCCTTACTCAAATAGTAACATACTTCTAATTACTATTAATTAATCACAACCATAACTTAAAAATTAAAAAAATATTTGGAATGTTACAAGTCATGCATCAAGTAATATCTGGTTTGTTGATAGTGGCTACTCAAATCATATGTCTTGTTTGAGATCTTTGTTTAGAGATCTTGATGAAATGAAGAAAAGTGATGTTCGACTTGGTGATGACAAGCAAGTCCATGTTGAAGGAAAAGGTATAGTTGCTATAAAGAATATTCAAGGTGAGGTAAAGCTTCTTATTGATGTGCAATTTGTGCCATAGATAGCTCACAATTTGTTAAGTGTTGGACAATTGATGAGTAGTGGATACAGAGTTGGGTTTGATGATGATGCATGCACTATTTATGATAAAAAATCTGGTCCTATTATTACTGCTGTTAATATGACATAGAATAAAATATTCCCTCTTGATATTGCAACTGTCATGAATAGTGCTTTGATTGTTAAGGGGAATGATGAAGCCAACTTGTGGCATTTATAGTATGGGCATTTGAATGTGAATGGTTTGAAACTTTTGAATGAAAAAGAAATGGTGATTGGTCTGCCACATATTGTTGAACTTGACTTTTGTGAAGGATGTGTATATGGAAAGCAATCTAGAAATTCTTTTCCTATTGGAAAATCATGGAGAGCTTTTAATTGTCTTGAGCTTGTGCATGCTGACTTGTGTGGACCAATGCAAACTAAGTCACTTGGTGGAGGTAAGTATTTTTTGTAATTAACTAATGACTACAGTCGCATGAGTTGGATTTATTTCTTGAAGTTCAAATATGAAACTTTTGAGAATTTCAAGAAATTTAAGGCCTTGGTGGATAATCAAAGTGGGAAAATTATAAAGGCTCTTAGAACTGACAGAGGAGGTGAATTTTTATTTAACAATTTTATTGCTTTCTGTGATGAGTATGGTATTCACAGGGAACTTACAGCATCTTACATACTACATCAAAATAATGTAGCTGAGTGAAAAAATAGAACTATGGTAGAGATGGCTAGAAGTCTATTGAAAGGAAAAAACCTCCCAAATCAATTCTGGGGAGAGGCAGTTGCAATAGCAGTCTATTTGTTGAATATCTCTCCAATAAAGGCTGTTTTGAATCAAACACCATATGAAGCTTGGTTGGGAGGGAAGCCACGGGTAAGCCACTTAAAGATTTTTGGTTGTATAGCATATGCTTTGGTTACTTTTCATCCTAAACTTGATGCAAAATCTGAAAAATGCATTTTTATTGGCTATAGTACTCAATCCAAAGCATATCATCTATATAATACTATATGTGGCGAGGTGATTGTAAGCATGAATGTTGTTTTTAATAAGAAGTTTGTTGGGAGTGGAATATTGAAGAAAAAGGTGCTGCTGTTCAAGTTCCGTTAGAATTTGATAATGCACAAGCTATAACAGCATCTCTTGCGAATTCTACTTTATCCTCACCTAGTGACAAAAGCGCTACTAGACCAATAAGTCCTTTATCCTCAGGATCCTCCAGTGAAACATTGCCAAGAAAATTCAGATCTCTAAGAGAAATTTATGCTTCTTATAATTTTGCTTTATATGATTCTGACCCAACTTGTTTTGAAGAAGCAATAGAACAATTTGAGTGGCAAAAGGCCATAGCAAAAGAAATGCAATCCATTGAGAAGAACTCAACATGGGAGTTGGTTAATGCTCCTGAAGGGAAGAATATTATAGGGCTGAAGTGGGTATTCTGAAAAAATATAATGCTGATGGAAGCATCCAAAAGCATAAAGCTCAGCTAGTTGCTAAAGGATAACTCTAAAGTATTAGATTTCAAACTGTTTGGCTTTATAGACAGCGACTGGGCAGGAAGTTTGGATGATAAAAGAGTACTCCAGGTAGTGCTTTCAATCTTGGCTTCAGAGTAATAACTTGGAGTTCAAAGGAAACAAGAGATAGTGGCCTTATACTTCGAAGCAAAATATATAGCAGCAACCTCTGCAGCTCGACAAGCTTTATGGCTCAGAAAACTTCTTGCTGATTTACATCATGAGCAAAAAGAAGCCACAAAATTTTTTTGGGATAACAGATCAGCAATTACAATGGCAAAGAACCTAGCTTTCCATGGAAGAACTAAGCATATTGATGTGCAGCGTCACTTCATTCGACAACTTGTAGCTGATGGAAGAATTGAGCTGAAATTTTGTGGCACAAATAAGCAAACAGCTGATATTTTTACAAAGTCCCTTTCTCAAGCCAAGCATTAGTTTTTTATGTCATTGTTAGGAGTATGTGACAAGTAAGAGATTTTGAATCAAGGGGAAGTGTTAGTATGACTGGTTCAAAATTAGTGGGTTAGTCACGTGAGACATATTTCTGTTGAGTAGGGCTCAAGCTTATCCAATTTGCTATGTGTAACCTAGTGGATCAAGATAGTATGTTAGTGGGTCAGTATTTCCGGTCAGTTTAGTCCTCATTTTTAGCAATTATTTGTTAATGTTTTATCTATTTAAGGGTCCCCTATGTCGCACTCCAAATAGAACAGTAATAAGAGTGATATTCAGAATATACTTTCTTGCTTTTTGTCTCTTATTAACATCACCAATTATCGTCTTTTCTCCTCTTTGACCAACATTTCTAAAGAACTCCTCAAACTATCTTTGATTACAGAAGCAACCAAGTTGAGGTTAGTTTACTATCCTGTACTAAGTGATTATGTTTTTTTTCCCCCTCAAACTTGTACACATGCATTCCTCCCCTATTTGATATGCAGTGATCTTCTATAGACACCCACCCACCTTGCACATTAAAATCATCTTACTTGCACAATTCTTCACAAACTTGTACACAAATCTATGTGCCAAGCTGTACTTATAGAGTGCTTCTTTGAATTCAACAGCATTTGCAAACCTTTGAAGAGGATCATAAAGCAAGTCCTTCTACTTCTCAGAACCATTCTCAAGGCATGGCTGTAGGCACACTTTCAATTAAACATGGCATGTCTTCTGATATCTTCTTGATGTGGACTCAACAATAGATGATCCATATAATCCTTCTAGGGTCTCTAACCTACATCAATATTTATTGTCAATTAATAACCAATTCTTCCCAACCAATTCAAAACACTTTTTAGACTTCCATGTAAGTTATCATTGTGAAAGTATCATGGATTGTCCTTCATTTATTAGCTCACTTACATTTTCAACTGTATACAAATGTGCACATTTATCTTTAAATTGTACTAGTTGTTGCACTCCTTCATCATCTTCTATGTCTATAATAGTACTTTGATCTAATTATGATAATATACATTTCAACTGATATCTTTTACCTTGAACACCAACACATGAATATATTATTTTTCTAAGCTCATTAAGTGACATTCCTTCTCTTACCATTCTTTCATTTGCTCTCCCACCAACATATTGAATCTTCCCTTAGTAGTGACAATCTTGCCACTTATGTGGGAAAAGCAATAACTTCTTTAGGCAATCTACTCATCACAACACACAAAGCAACAAACCATTGAAGCAAGCTAGGTCAATAATGAATAGAACTACAACCATCTCCTCCAAGCACTGAAATGCAGAGAGCATAGAAACAACTTACCTCCCAACCCTTCATCGATGGATTGGGGCTAGGGTAGAACCTACTATAATTAGTGGATGGAATGGAGGATGCAGGGTAGAGCAAGAGTTCAGACGCAATTGTTTCCTACTAATCTTCTGTCTTTCTAATTTATTAAATATTAAGGGTATTTTGGTCTTTTTTTCTTATCAAATGATTTGTACTAAAAGACCCTAGATTTTCCAATTCCCAAATAAATTTCCAAATAGGTATTTGTCACCAATTTTCCCAAGAAACATCTGGTAAATTGGAAAAGTTATCTATAGAAAATTAAAAACTTGATTGTCATAAGAAATGGAAAATTTAAAGCTAATATCGTGGGTTGACTACATGCATAAACTCGCCATGGCACAGGGATATAAATAGAGGCTGCAAATCATTTGCAATATGATAAAGCAGGATGAATCGCAATAATTTGGATTGAGTTGGGACTGATAACGCGGGTGTAAAGTTCTTTTAGCAAGAATTTTTTAATATATATTAAATTTGACTCTTAAGACTTTGTTACGCTGTTTGGATTAAATTTTTGAAAGTATTTTATGATGTACTAAATAAGTATACGAGAAAATCTTATCTTAACTTACGTAAAAGTATTTTTGAAAAGCTAATCCAACTAGCTCCAGATGAAATGCCAAACCATGGGCATCATGAGCAAATTTTAATTTTAACATATGAAACACCTGATCATCTTACCTAAAGTTAAGAAGGTGAGAAAAGGCTTGACAAATTAAGTTGTCCTGAACTTGGAGGGCACTGCCTGTAAAGTGAGGAGCCTTCATCCCCCGCCCCCCCGGGGGGGGGGGGGGACTTTCACTTCTATACATGGAATTACAAAGATAAGTCTCATTCTCCCTCACCTACTTTAGCGGTGATATGTTTTTAAGAGATTTAGATTGTTAATTTGACAACGGCTATTACAAAAAATTGGCTTAGAGGTTGTTAGCCTGATCCGCCTTTCAGGATTTCATGGCAAAATCGAGTCTTCCAGTTTTTCTGCAATTTGCTGGGTTAGAGGAATCTGGACCAAGTCCAACGTTTCATGCAAATTAGCAAAACACTATCTTTATAAATATATATATGTGTGTGTGTGTGTGTGTGTGCAAAGATTCATAAATTATTATTATATATATGTAATTCTTTGGAAGATAAATGCGATTTCCACGATCAGCTAATCAAAATTCCTAGCAATGTCAACAATGTACAAGATTGACTTTTCACATGGTTTTGACAGATAAACAAGGTCTGTGAATCTATCAAAACTTGGGCCAAAAAAAGAATATTTCATACACTTAGAGAGAGATGTATAGTAGTACATGGAAAAATAAAAAGTTAAAATATACAATAATTCATTCCTGGAGAACGATGACATGTCTCGGAAGGCTTACACCATGCAACTGAGAAACTATGCAGTATGCACCATCTGGAGCAACCACAAAATTTTGCCCAATCAACCACCTTTCGCACCCAGGATACTCTGCTTCCAGAATGTATTTCAGCATGTACGTGCTTGCACAACAAATGCAAGCAAGAGTAATGCCTAGTTTACTGGGAGGAACTCAGCATCATAACTGGAATAGAAAAGCAAATAGCTAATTAGACTCCAGAAATGAATAATAAGCCCACTGGATGAACACCAGATCACTTACTTTTAATATGATGAAACATCATAAGATCGTTGAATTTCTTCACAGCAATCACCTGCACCATCAATTATGAACTGAAGGAAATTACTCTTTTTTTTCTTTTATAATCTTATCCCTTTTCCTTTACTTGGGGTGGGGGGATGCAGAATCAGCAAATTGCTAACATCTTGAAAAGCACGTGTTAGTTCCTCTTCATCCGTCAATATACATTACATGTCAGCGGCTATACGTCTTAATAAGTGAACTCTGCTCTGCAGAGATAAAGTATATTGAAGCTCCTATCATCCACAAGATTAAGAACGCAGGTAGTGAGAAGATAAAGCCTCTATATCGCACTGGATGTCCCCACATGTAGTGAGAACTGTTGCAAGGATATAATCATCCACCTCAAAACCTTCTGCTCGCATTCTATACATGAGCTTCAAAGCCTCTCTACAGTGTCCATTCCTTGCATAGCCCATGATCATGGCTTTCCAAGACACAAGATTTCTTTCTGGCATGCTGTCGAAAATTTGAAAAGCCTCTGAAACATATCCACATTTCGCATACATATAAATTAAAGCGCTGCTCACAAATACATTGCGCAGGGCAGGGGTTTTGGTTGCATATGAGTGAATCAATTTTCCTTGCATTAGAGCTTCTAACTTTGCACACGCTTTCAGAGCTGATGAGTGAGTGAATGAATTAGGCAACACGCCTTCTTCCACCATTTTCTTGAGGAACTCAAGGGCCTCAGGCTCATGCCCTAGCCGAGCACTTCCAGAAATAATGGCGGTCCATGAGACAACGTCCCTAAAGGGCATATGATGGAGCACCTTAATTGCATGAGAGTACTCTTTACATTTGGAGTAGAACCATACCAAAGTACTCCCTATGTACATATTAGAGTGGATATTACTCCTGATTATCTGTCCGTGAACTTCTCTTCCACTTAGCAAATTCTTGATTGAGCCACAGGCCATCAAGACACTAACAATAGTCCTTTTGTTGATATATACTCTTTGTCTCTTCATTGACCTAAACAAACTTATGGCCTCCTCACCTAAACCATTTCGAGCACATCCTGATATAATGGATGTCCAAGTAGCTGTATTTCTGATCTTCATTCTGTCAAAAACTTGTCTAGAATCTGCAATTTCTCCACATTTTGCATACACATCAACTAATGATGTGCCTATATATACATCGTTCTTACAAATTTTCTTCACCATAGCACCATGTAGCTGTCTCCCCATTTTTAATGCCTTTATCTCTCCACAAGCCTTCAGTGCACTACATACAGTATATTCATTAGGGATAAACCCATTGCCTAGCATTTGCGATAACAATGTAAAGGCTTCATGCCCTAGCCCTTGCTGGGAACAAGAAGTGATCATAGTTGTCCAACATACCACATCACGCTCCACCATCCGGTTGAATATAAGAAATGCACTTGACATGTCCCCACATTTTGCGTAAAAATGAAGAACTGAATTATGAACAATTAAGTTCTTCCATCTGCCTTTCAAAATACTAGCATGTATTTGCTTACCCAGCTGTAAATCCAATTTCTTACCACACAAATTCATGAGGCAGACAAACATCTTATTGTTTGCTTGAACCTCATGTTTAATGGATTCACTAAACAACTCTAAAGCTTCATCATCCATATTATGATTCAAATACCCATTAATCATAGCGGTCCAGGTAACTGTATTTCTTCTGGACATTCCATCGAATACTTTGCGAGCCAACCCTAAGCTCTCCAATCTCAAATAGGCACAAATTAAATTGTTATCAACATAAGTAACAGGTTCTGTTAAACATTTTAACAAGACTGTGTGTACCCTTCCTACTTCTTCCCCGTTAACACACAGTCGCAGCCATCGAGCAACTAACCTTGGATTTAAGCATTGGTTTTTTTCATCCATATTGTCCATCTTCTTCCTGGCATCATCATGAAAGGGATAATTGATGATATCTTGAAATTCCAACTCTGCGGCATCTGATGCTTCGATGCATGCACTTGCAGCTTCATAAGCGTGGACAATGGACAAGCAAGTGCTCCTAGGGTTTGCCAGATCTTGTCTCAAAAAAATCGAATGCAAGTTAATGGCAATATAATACAAAATGAAATAAATTGTCAGGTTTGAACTACCCAGTTAAATTGCCTCATTTCTTAAAAGATGATATGCAGCACATGATTTCTGCTGTCAAGACTTGAGGGGGAAATGCTCGGGCAAACAAACAGAACTTCACCAAGCATAATATATTGATGAACTCTTATCTAATTAAGCCCTAATTTAAAAAATACTTTATTCCTCTAACAAAAGCAACAAATGTATTCTGTGGGTCATCAAATTTCATCATGAGCATCTGATATACTCGTTGAAAGAAGAATAATTAACAGTCATTGTGAACTGACTTTTGGGCAAAGTTTGGCGACTCCCCAGCAAACCGGATGAACATTTCTGTGTAACAACAGAATGTAAATCTTCAATGTTATCCAAGTTTTTGGATACATTTATTTCTTTCTTTCGAGAGGGTTCACTAATTGAGCACCCTTAGAATCCAAAATATAGCTACAAGCCAAACGAGTTCTAAAGAGTGAGAAAATTTAAGTTGAAAAGTACTTAGCTTACCTTTGGTGCTAAAATTCAAGGAAGCAACTCGAACTATATTCCTTATAGGTGCAGTGAGGGAACAAGAAAAATCTCCATAAGCTTTGAAAGTAGGAAACTTTGAGGGGATTGAACAACATGAGTGAATAACCACGGCAGACAACTCCATGAGTTTTAAGTTTGCTCTATCAGGTTATGGGCTCAAAAACGGCATGGGCACAGAAACTGAAGAACTGGCCTATGGGGAAGAAAATATCGATTCATATGAGTGAGACGAAATGAAGGTGGAGATGAAAACGAAAATAAATTAAATATGCACGGAGGCCTGGAAATTGAGATGAGGATTCCGGGTTGAAAGGAAGAAGAAAAACCCCAGTCGGTCCGTTGAGACCTTACCAAGAACCACAGGGTTTTTCTGGGAAAATGCGGATAATAATCGAGTTTCCCTCCAAAAATCCAAATAATCCTGGCCGGCACATCAATACGGGACAGAATATGACAACATATATACCGAACACTCAAAAAAAGATCTTTTAAATGTACAAGGCCTTCCCCAAATTATCTCAAGATTGAAAAATATCCTTAGTTTTGAGAATAGAGATAACGAGTGAATTCATAAAATAATGAGAGGCAGCTTTGAAATCTTATAAAAAGTTTTTACACGTTTTATGGGTTTAACTACCCTTAACGAACTGCTCTTCAATATAAAAAGAATGAGAGGGAATATATGTAAGTCGGTCAAACCAGACTAATTTGTCTGAAAACCCAATCCATTTTCCGAACTGGGTTGCATCATGTCGGGCCGGGTTCCTTGTTTGATGCTCGCCACCTCTCTCGGCTTTCTGGGATTCTACGTCCTTAAACTGGTTTGAATTTTAAGAATTAGAATAAATCATTTGAGCAACAAAAGTTTTCATATAGGTTATATTTAAAGAATTAAGTATATTTTTATGAGAAAATTGGTTGTGCAGGACAAAAGGACCCATTTTATCTAGTGAAAAAAAATCATTTCTATTGTTTTACTTCATTTTTTAAAATACAAGTAAATTTTTATTTTCATAAATTATAACGATTTCTATATAAATATACTATCCCTAATCCTTATATAAGAGTTGATTAACTAATTTGAGTAGATTAAAAAATTAATTAAATTAGTTATTCGTAATATATATGTTATTTTTTTAGAATACTCTTACTAATCATGTGTATTAATTAGAATAATCATTTGATAGAATATTTAACATGTGCAATCAGTACGAAAACTATTTTTTAAAAAATAGATAAATACAAGAGATAAAGTAAATTGAAATTTTATATCTATAACCAAATTGAAAGTCAAATTAGCTCTTCTATTAAAAATAAAAGGTAATACATAGCATTTTTGGACAAAATACTTATTATGGTAATTGTCTCAAGACAAATAGAATTCTGTTTTTAGCTAAAGAAAAAATATAGTTTCTTAAATAATTGAAATAGAATATTTAAATTAAAAAAATTAATTCATTCTGTCCAAAAAAAAAAACACATAGAAAGGAAGGGAAATGTGGATATGAATTATGGTCCAGCCCAAATTGGTTAAAATGGTGGCCGTCCGAACTCGATAATAAGCCCTTAAGCCCAATAAGAGCAATGGTTTGGTTCCTGCCAGGCACTATATGCATATAAACCAGCTAGGGTTTTTATCGTCAAGCCAGGAGGCAGAGGGAGAAGGGAGACTCGGTCACATAAGGCGGAAATTCCTGAAAATGGTGAAGTTCTTGAAGCAAAACAAGGCCGTTATCGTCCTTCAGGGACGCTATGCTGGTCGCAAGGCAGTGATCGTGCGTGCCTTCGACGACGGCACGCGTGACCGCCCGTACGGCCACTGTTTGGTCGCCGGAATCAAGAAGTATCCCAGCAAGGTTATCAAGAAGGATTCTGCCAAGAAGACGGCCAAGAAATCTAGGGTTAAGGCTTTCGTCAAGCTCGTTAACTACCAGCATCTCATGCCCACGCGTTACACCCTCGATGTGGATCTTAAGGACGTAGCAACCATCGATGCCCTTCAATCAAAGGACAAGAAGGTTACCGCCTTGAAGGAGACGAAGAAGAGGTTTGAGGAGAGGTTCAAGACCGGCAAGAACAGGTGGTTCTTTACCAAGCTTAGGTTCTGAGCTTTTCCCCTTCAGGAACAACGAGCCACTTTCAAACTATATTGGTTTCTGTACTGGTTTTGGTGAAGGGAATTTTGGATAGAGATTATAGTGTTATCGTTTTTCGAATTGTTATTGGATCTGTCGGACTATTTGCGTTTTTCTTTAGTTAAATTGAAATCATGTCGTTTCTTAATCCCATATCTTTGCCTGGCCATTTTCATGGTTTGGTGAGTATTCCTGAGCATTTACTTATTTGATGCATTTTTTGTGATTAAATGACTGTGCTTGGAGGTAGTAACTGCTTAATTTAACCAATTTGATCGCATTTGGTCTTGCTGTCATGATTATCTGTATTGGGTCATATCAAATCAGCATTCATGTTCTTGGGGAAATGTTTGCTTTTTCATGCCTATTTAGTCTTGTTGCAAGTTAATTTGGGTCATTTTGCAGCGTTTTGTGAAATATTCTTGTACCTCTTTGGGTAACATGCTATATCTATAATTTTAATTTCGTGGTTTTTTCCCCCTTGTTGGAGAGAATGAAATTCTAAATTCTCGGAGCCGACTATAGGCCTTGCAAAATTGAACTAATGCAAACTAATGGGATTATATAGCTCTTTTGACAAGTTTTCCCACCTTTCTTTCCCTTTTTCTGGAAAAAATATAGAAATTGAACAGAGTATTTTCTGCCTTTTGTTTTGGGCTCCATAACACAACATTTTTCCATTTTGAACATGTTAATGCTTTTGTGTTTGCCACAAGTCTTGTTTGTTTTGAGTTTTTTTCTCCTAATTACTGAAAAGCTGGAATATTTGGTGTCTTTCCTGTGGATCGGGCTCGCCTTTAACAATGAATCATGTCCCTTGGGGATTTTGTTCATTCTAAATTTCATTTTTCTCCCATTACTTTGTGTTGTAAATTTGCTTATGTGCCTTTAACTGGTGTAACAAAAGGACTTCCTTGGAAAGAACATCCAATAGAAGCCGTAGCTTACTCCACATGTTGGAGTTCCCACACAAGATGCTCAGTTTTCACTTTGTTATGAATGAAGCATGCGATCACGTTTGGTGGTTTCGTCATGTGTTATTGGAGAAATGCATCCTTTGTCATTTGAGTTGCGTTAGTTTAACTGTGTTTGCATTTTTCTCTCTTTTGTAAGATTTGTGCCTTGTTCCTTGCACATGCGTCTCTAGTCTCTGCAATTTATGTAAATGGCTAAGTTTGCATTATATGAATGGTATATAATGGTAAATAGCTGGTTCGACTAGTAAATATAGAACATCTATATCAGTATATAATAGAAAGTTTGATGATATATGTATTAGTCATGAACGTGACTTGTTTATTTATTAAAATTAAGGGAGTGCATATATAGGACCCCCCACCCTAATTTTGACAATTGAGGATGAGGGGGGCGGGGGATCAAAACTCTGATGATTAATTGATTATGATGGATCTTAGGGGAAGTTTTCGTAAATTTGATATTTTTTGGTTTAATTTTTAACAAAAGTGAAATTTTATTCATTTTGATTCTTGAACAAATCTTCTAACCACTTGTTCCCCAACTTCTATTTTTTTTTTTGATGACGAGCCAAACATATGGACAGGGGTCCACTTTGCTAGTTTTCTTCTTGTACCGGCTGGGCCGGCCCGAATAGCACCCACTATACTATGGGTCAGTTGGCTAGTAATAGTATCTTTCCGTTGAATTCCAAATGAAAAAGATTTGTGTGAAAGCTGGACTCTTATTTTATATTACGATTATTATTTAATAATTTAAATCGTTTAGAATTTTTTTAAACAAGTAGATAAACATCAATTTTTATTAGGAAAAATCCCAATAAAACACCTTGAGACTATTAAAAACCCAATTTAAGAATATGAATTTGCATAATAGTCTAGGGTTGAGCAAGCTACTCGCAACCTAGTGAACCTGTCTCAGCCGGGAGAAAATTTGTCCCCAAAAGAAGTCCGTAACAGACGAGCTTCAATGGGCAGGATGGGTGGGTTCTTGCATTAAACGGGCAGGTTATGGTTACATTACACCCTTGAGCTGCCCATACCCGTCTGTATATATTTTGTTAATTTCTTTTTTTATATATAACTTTCTTATAATATGTTATTTTTCCACACATGTTGAACATTTAACTTTAGATACTATAGTTAAGGGCTTGTTTTTCAAATATGAAATTCTTGGTTCGATTCTCACCACAGCCTCACTTGAAAGGCTGAAACTCATCTTCATTTAACAATTTTTATATCAATTTTGAAAACCTATTATAATTTACACATTCCAAAAAGTCGAAACCAGTTCCCCTCTCCTTCTCGCACGAAGATGCCATATGCAAAAACCCATTGCACAACCCAGATCAATCATGACAACGGCACCGCCGTCTATGGTGACTGGCCCTTTGCTCGCTACTGACCTCATCGTCCCTCTGAGCCTCTGCCTTTAGTGCTTCTTCTTCAGTTGCAAGTCTCATAATCGAGTCTTTGGATCTATTCTTCCTCTGCGGCCTGCGTCTTTGTCTTTCGTTTCAGATTTCATTCTTCTTCATGCTTTGTGAGACTCTCTACTTCCTCCATCATGTTCACATCTCCTTCTTTCTTTCTCTTTCTAATCTTTAAGTTTTTATCTTGATTTATATATTGATAAACTTGAATATAAATTAATTTGACTGCGTTGATGAGGGGCTGAGAATAAGATGAACAGGTTCTTCTAGATTTCTAGATCCCAAACAGGTTCCTCACAACCTATTTTAATCCGTCTATTTATTCCAACTTGTTTACAATGGTTTTAAACGGGTTCATTACAAGGCGGGTTCATTACAAGGCGGGTTGTGCCGTACCTATTAATCTTAAACGGACAGGCCACGGGTTAGGGCACAGGCTGTCCAACTCGCCTATTGCTCTACTTTTATTAATATCACATTGAGAGATGAGAACTAATTTGGAATTTGCAGATCTTGTAAAAAGACCTCCTTACCCCTCATTATTTCCTACATCGTTCTCGCCCTTTCTCCCACTCACAGCCTTACTCTCCTTCCTCATCCTCCCTTCACGCCATCTGTTGAATTGGATTGTCCAGTTCTCAAATGGAAGGGTATGCTTATGTACATGCTCTCACTAGTTTTTCATCAATTTCCTTTGTTTCTTATTATCCTGTTGTTTTCAAATAATGTCCTGTTCCTCCCATCCTTTCATTCTAAATTCTCATGTCACAATATTTTATGGGAAGAAACCAGCACGCTATAAGCTCCTTTGTCTGAGTAAGAATGTTAGATGGGAAAAAAAAACAAGAGTTATCAATTATTTTTAAATTACTACTCATATCTCAATTTGGTATTATGCAAATTCAGATCCTAAATTGCATCTTTGATAGTTCAAGGTATTTTCATTGGCATTTTCCCCGTTTATCAATAAAATCACCTTTTTTTTTTTTTTGGGTTCCTTTTCATTATGTGAAAGTAATACATGTGCCAAGAGAGCTGGAGAAATATTCTTAATCCAAATCACAACCATTAACCAACAGTTTCTCACCCAAAAAAAAGAGTACAATTTCATCATAAAAAGTATTGAAATAATTGAAGAATATGGATAGTAATTCTAGTCTAAGCATTCAAAATACACACAAATAGGCTACAACATTAATGAATTATTAAATAACTAGTATTAAAAATAATCTGTGGATAGTCATTCTCTTCATAGATATAATTAATTAATACAGAGTTTACTGGTCCATTTACGAATCTAAAAGTTTAAATTTTCCATGCAATTAAATTTCAATGTTTTTTTTTTTTGACCAGCAATTAAATTTCAATGTTTACATGTAACTTTAATCTCAAGTAAATATTACTGAAAAAATAACATACATACATGGAAGTAAATGACTGTACCATATATATATATATATATATCCACCAAATAACAAAGCAGGAACTTTATTATAAATCACATGGGAGGGTGAAAATTATAGGGCAAGTCATCGACAATATTCGGATTGCCATAAAATGGTAACACATTGAAGACATAACCATTTTCCCTCTCATAAATACGTTTCAGTTCCCACATTAGGAAATCACACATTTTCCATACAACTTCACGCTTCACACATCTTTCACATTCTCTTTTACTTCTTCTTCTCTTTCCTTCAAAATTTATCATATACTCCAATCATGCGCATGTGTTTGTTTGTGTTTTTAAAGTATCAAATAGCTAACCCTTCTACCCATTTTTTGGTGTGCCAAGTTCACCAAATAAATATTAAAACTATCGTTATGGATATCCTTCTTACAAAACACAACACCACTCTCTCAAAAAAAATTTTCAGTTTTAAGTTTCTTTTTCTTTTTTTAAAGTTAGCTAGTGGCTCCACATTTTCTACGGCCTTTTTATTTTGAAAAAAAATATGCAAATTCAAATTTTAGACAATTTAAATATTCATTATTTTAGATTTTTTTTGGATATTATTTGATTGCAATTACCATCATTACAACAAATTTAAATATTAGCATAATCATAATCAGGTCTGAAAAAAAGGATTTAATTACCCTAAAGTCTACTGATAATCAAAGAGCATGTAATGATGAGTTTTAAAATAGAAAATGACAACAAATTAAGATTGGTCATTTGTTATTAGGATTTTTTGGTAATTAATTTTTTTTTCTTTGAGACCTCATGTTAATTCTCCCTAAGTATTATCATATTCTAACTCTTTCAAAACACAGCACCATCCGGTCTGATTCGAGTTTTAATTCATTTTCCACCTTCTAGCTAGCCAAACAGAATAATTTGTCCCTTTTTTGAAATAAAAAGATAAACACTAATAACATGATACTATCTCTAGTCTTTAGTACAAGAACTAGATAACTAATTTGGAGATATTAAGAAATTTAGTTAAATTAGTTATTTGTTACAAATGTATGTTGATATCTTAAAACTGTTCTCTTTAATTATGTGCATCAGATGATTAGAATTATTCTCTAGTGGAAACCGTTACAATTAATATGGATATCTTGTAAAAAGATGGAAAACAAAATATATTAAAATTTTATATTTAAAAACAAATTTAACTCCCAATTAATTTTTATATAAAGTACGAGAGGTAGCATTATTGACCAGATCAATCATGTGACAGACTGATACTTGCTGGAAGACCTCACAAAAACATTGAGGTCCCCTCTTACTTTCTCCCGCCA